CGACATCCAAAATCGCACCGAGGTTGTCACGGCCCTGCCCCGGTGGGCACCTGCCGCCGAGGGCGCGTTTCCCTGAGCCCTGTGGGAAACGGCCACTTCGAAACTTCGATTTTTTCCATTTTCTATGGGGAGAAGGGCACGAAGCCATTGCCCCTGTGAAGACAAGAGTGTGTGTGTTGCGGCCCGGTTAGCTTTTAATCTGAGCAAGTCATTGCTGCCCCCCTTTGCCTCGTGGCTCTGGCAGGTAACTGTGGTGGGGTTCACCTCCCGGCCATCCCCACCCCCTGGGTGGCGATGCTCTCTTGACCCTTCCCCTGAGAGGCCCTGAGTTTTCCCCTCTCTTCGAGGTCAATGAGGCTGAAGGTCGGAGGTACCTCAGAGTTGCCACGTGCGACCGAATCCAAAGCATGTTGCCTCCTGTCCTGCCCTTTCTACCCAAACTGGTGTCTGGGTACCTGCCGTCATCTTGCGCAGGAAATCTCTATCTTTCACTGACCAGCTCTTTTGTATTTCATAGAGTCACAGAATGTTCGGGGTTCGAAGGGACCTCTAGAGATCATCCAGTCCAACCCCCTGCCAGAGCAGGATCCTGATCGGATTTTTACTTGGTTTCAAGTCTGGAAATACAAGAAAGAGGCTGCAGTAGTTGAAGACCCTGTATTTCATCTGGCATAGCAAATGAGATTCAGGAGTGCATGCAGAGATACACACAGGCAGCCTACCAAACAGAACTGTAATTTATGTTAGGGGTCTCTGATAAATGATTTCTTAAAAAAAAAATCTATATAGTTGTGGGTTTCATTATAGGACATTTGCTATCTGAGGATTCCTTCGAATGACACACTTGAACTGCTGGCCTGTGACTAGAATTTTGAGTCAATGTAAAAGTAATTGAAAGAAGCTAAGCTTTCATGCTGCTATCAAGGTGCCTGCTTTTGTATCTGTTTCTTTTCAGTATTGGACCACTTTACAGCATAACACAGTGCCCAGGCAGATTTGTCCAAACACTTGAAAGGGCATACATGCCTGAGTGCAGACTTTTTTTAGGCTGAGCGTAATTATTAGATTGGTAATTCTGAGTTTGCAGCATTTAGCTATTGCTTACTAAATAGAAGTTCAGATTAATCATCTTAGGAGATGTATCTTCATATTTTTTACAATGATGTTCATGTTGCTTTTTACAGTATTTTGTTGTTGCTTTTTATTGGAAAAAACAAATGGAAAGCTTGCAGTTATTTTAGATAAATATTTTACATACTTAGCATTTCCAGTGCTTAGAATTTTTGACAGTGTTATTACATACTGAATATTTTTGTAATGGAGAGCCATTTCATGGACAAATAAGCCAGAATTAAATTTACTCTTTATGTGTAAAATCTGTGAAAGTATAAAACATTGCAGCTATTCTGCACACTTAAGTTAGAACAAAAATGAGACACACTAGGTACAGACAAGGCTTTCTAATTTGGGTTATGCAGTTAATAAATGAAAACTCAGTATGGTATGTGATGGTTAATTTCATGTTTTGCAGGTGGTTATGGTGCCACCGCATTAAATATGAAGCGGGATCCCCTGAAACTCAAAAGTGGAGACACTGAATTTCCAATAACACTTGGTCGAGATGTGTCTGGTGTTGTTATGGAATGTGGCCTGAGCGTGTCTTATTTCAAACCTGGAGATGAGGTGATACCATCAGTCTCTCTTTCTGAGATGTATAGTTAAAATATACTATGAGATACTCAGCTTGTATTTTCCTCTTTAAAAAAGCCCTTTTTTTTATGTGTGTGTTGTTTGTGCTCTAAGCAAGGACTCCCAGGTAGTAAATTATTACAGTGCTTTCTTCCCTGCCTTTTTTGTCTGAAAAACATGATCTTTCCAAGACTTGCTTCTGCAAGTTAATTTTCCATGTGGTTTTTTTTTTAATTTTTGGTCGATATCAGTGGTAACAATAGAGGAATTTATTTATTTTCAAGTGCACACTCAAGATGCTGCTTAATTTTTGACTGAAGATAGAATTCTAACAGGAGGGAATTACCTGTTGGTTTTTTTTGTTTCTTGAGTAACTTAGGGTAGGAATTGTGGCATAACCCAAGAACCACTTCATGAGTCTCCACATAAATACTGATATTGTTTGCTTTCACCTTTGGCAGTTGCTTTCACGTTTCATCAGTTTTAGTAAGGCAAATTCTGATCTGCACCACCCGATCCTCTCCAATCTGAGCTTTCCTGGCATGGAAGTAGCCTGGGTTTTTTTAAAAATTCTGTCTTATACACAGTATAGTACAATTTATTTACATAGTTCTGCAGTCTTTCATGTAGTCAGTCTTGTGATGTTCTCGTTTAAAGTGCAAACTAAAACTAGTTTCTGATAAGCAGTAGTGAAGACATTCTGCAGATTGGAAAAAAAAGGTTTCTTTAGCGAAGAAAACTTTTTTATGTAGGTGCAATCATATGCAAAGCTACAAAAATTGTAATTGTTTTCTGTTTGGTTTTAGGTATGGGCAGCACTCCCTCCATGGAAACAGGGCACTCTGTCAGAGTTTGTGGTAGCTAGTGGAAATGAGGTAAGCCTCCGAAAATGTGCCTAACAGACAACCCCCAAAATTGTAAAGACAGGCATTTTGTTTCTTCAGTGTCTAAGTAACCATTTGTTTCTTACTGCTTCGGTTGATTTAGATCCCAGCTAGTCATGAAGAGGGCTGAAAGTGTGGAATACACAATCTGCAGTTCAGTAAAGTTTGTAGGAAGTATTTCAGTGTCATGTAGGATCTGCCGTGTGACTTCGATATGATGGATTTTATTTCAGGTGTCCTTTAAGCCAAAGTGTCTCAGTCACATAGAAGCTGCCTCCTTACCGTACGTAGGCCTCACAGCGTGGTCAGCGGTTAACCAAGTCGGAGGGCTGAATCAAAGTAATTGTAGTGGGAAAAGGTAAGTAAATAGTTCTGGTGCCACAACTTCATGTTACATTTTTATGCTGATTTACTGCTTCTAAGACATGTCTAACAGTGGTGGAGGCTGTTACACCATGACATTCACAAGGACCAGGTGGCCTGTAGATGTTCAGTCTGCTGAGAGAGAGGCTACTTTAGATAGAGGGAGGCTCAGACGAGGACCCAAACTGAAGTGTACCTAGTCACTTGCTGCTTACTTCCTCTGTGTAGTGACTAGAGGTAGTTCAATATATATATCTCAAGGAATTTATAGAGACTCTGCCTTTCAGGGAGCCGGTTAGCTCAGTGGTTTGAGCACGGTGCTGGCAACAAGGATCAACACCGAGGTTGCGGGTTCGATTCCCGCTCGGTCCCCATGTGTTGCCAGGTCTAGTCGAGAGGTGGCGTCCCTGCCCAAAACAGGGAGGTTGGACTAGATGATCTCTAAGGTCCCTTCCAGCCTAGGCCATTCTATGATTCTATGATTTCCACCCACTAGGCCAGCTATCCAGACTGCCTCTCTGAGTTGTGTTGGCAACTCACAAAAAGGCCTCTCCACCACAGAAGCATGGCTCACTCAGTTGCTCCATGCCTGGTCCATTTGGAACAGACTGGTCTTCAGGTTTTTTGGAAAAAAATGAGCAGGTGACTGGGTTTTGTTTGCCCTGTAGGCCCAGACTTTGATGAAGTCAGGAATGTGGAAGAGAAGAGGAAAACATGCAAGACTAGCAGCCACATCAAATAGAAAAATTGGTTTTGTTTATCAGCCAGTTGATCTGACAAAGGCAGATGCAGGACAGAAGAGGAAAAATACATTGAAAGATTGGAGCAGATACCATTTTTCTCCTTATAATTGAAATTTGCAGGTATTTTGTCCTTCGGTTCTTTGTGTAAATAGATAGTAAGATATTCAGAATGGAAAGAAGGACAGAAGTAAAAGTACTGGAATTGAAAAATCATCTTTAAAGTTACTAGGCTACACCAAAAATTTAGGCCATAAAGTATTGAGCTGTAGGAGTCTAGTCCTCCTACCTGGGGCGTTACTACTGTAATGCAACCTATTGCAAAGGACACTACATTTACTGAAATTCTTCACTCACATCTTTAGAAGATAATTGAGTGAGTGGTTGTTTATATGCCATGGTAGATTTCATCATGAAAATACCAAGTAAAAGTTTTTTCCAAAGATAAATAATGTTTTGGGAAAATGAAATTGCAAAATTTAAAGCAATTTCAAAGAGACATCATTGAAATCGCTAGTGATAAAATTCTACATACATGGCTTTTCTTTTTATTTTTCAGTATTTAGACTTTCTTATTTTCTTAACTTTCACATGTAAATAGAATTAACTTAAAGATATGTTGATAGGCTAGCCTTGCTGCAAGTATCTTTCCAGTCTTCAGGTAAGCATTCAGACTGTTAGAAGTTCAATTCAGACTGCATTTGTATCAGGTCTGTACATTTGACATTTACTTTTATGTTCCCTATAAATATTTAATTACTCTTTCAGAAAAAAAACATTTTAATATACTTATAAAATCATGGTGTTTCCCATCGATAAGTTTTGAATTGTAAAAACCAGCAGAGAATCACTTACTTGAAGCAGCTTTTTCCCTGTGAAAAATGTCTTGTAGGAAAATGCATGAAATGCATTGAAGGGGCTGTCCAAAAATCCATTCTGTGAACTTTGCTTTACTCTCTCAAGGCAATAATTTCAAAAGACAGGAGTTTACATAACTTTTCTAATTTCTTGAAATAATTTAGTATGTTTGTTAAGAAGTTACCTACTTATGTGATATTTTATTAGTTTTTTGTCTCCTGTAGGTGTATGTAAATAGCTGTATAGAAGGGTGTATGTACACACAAGAGTGTGTCTCAGCTTGAAAGAGCAGCTGTATTCCTTGGTGAAAGCTACTTCACTTACACTTTACATCTTAGAAACAGTGAGATTTTTCTGTTGGTGTGTATTGTTTTATTTGCCTTTTTAAGATGGAAGAGTGGCCTAACCAGAAATAATCTGACGGGAGTATCTGCTGCATCTGCACACTATTGTTTTTATGAGTTACCTGAAGCTTCCTCACATTGTTCGTGATTTCACTTACTTCACTATAGCCCCAGTCATTTCTCTGTGACTTTTATCCTATGCCACTGTAATTCATGTCAATATTCTTGCACAAGCCAAAAGTGAATGTTCTTGGTAACCAAAATGTTCAGAATGACTTTGTTGTTTTGAAGTTCTCTGTGGATAATACCTGGAGAGCTTCTCACATGTGCCAGTGTCCAGTTTCAGTGTTGTTGTTCAGACATACTTGTTAAATATATGGCTTGCTGTATTTGCAGAAAGCATGATAAAAACAAACCTGACAATTTGATAAATTCTCAAAAACATTTGCATTAATCTTAAGTAAAGATCTTTTATGTAAAAACAGAGTCAATATTTTGTATGTTTAAGTATGCTAGGCACAAGTGCTGGATTCTGTTACTGCAAGCTATTAAACATACTCTCCTTGTTTATATTGTTACAAGGAAAATTTGAATGATATAATACCCTAAGAAAATACATTTCCAAAGTCTGTGTGTTATTTCATCATTTTATCTGTTGAGAAGTGCAAAGTGAGTGTAGGTTGCAGAACTTCTTGTTATAGGGTAAATCGTAGGATATATGATAGAAATACTTCCTGATGCAGGAATAAATCTCTTAGGGGCATTTTGTTGGCATAATCAAATGGAAATTAATTATATATCTATTAAGAATAATTATATGTTTAGTCAATAAATATAGTATTTTTAATTTAGGATGTAGCTGAGTCACTGACAATTGTTAGTTGTTTATAATTTGGAGAAAATGTTAGTCCTTGATCTGTACACCCACTTGCCACCTCTTATGTCTTTTGGTGGTGTTGGGGACACTGCCCCCCCCACACTTTGACAAGGGTCCTGGCTCTCTGATGCTCGTTTCTGACCACCCCATAGTTCCAAGCAGGGAGTCCTTGATCTGTACACCCACTTGCCACCTCCTATGTCTTTTGGTGGTGGTGGGGACACTGCCCCCCCCACCTTGACAAGGGTCCTGGCTCTCTAATGCTGGTTTCTGACCACCACATAGTTCCAAGCAGGACCCAGGGAGAAGGGCTGAGCTCCCAAATCTCGTGGTATGCTCTTCTGGAGAGATCTGCTGACTCTGATCATTTGAACTGCAGAAGCCTCATGTGGTGCTTGGTGAATCTGACTCAAATTAATGTGCCTCTGTCAGAAGGGGGCAAAGCCTGCGGTGTGAACCTTTGTTCTTTTGAGAGCATTAGTCTTCTCGGATCTCTTTTCAGTTCAAATGCACAAGTTTCTGTGTTAGTTTACTCCTGAGCTCACCCGAGGCTGTGCTTACCCGAGGCATTGCAAACAAACCTGTGCCTGCTTTGGCACTTTCCACCACCTGTGGTCCTTTGGTACCACCCTAACAGGGTCCTGCACCTTCAGATGGTCCCCCCTCTTCCTTGTGTTGTGCCAGACAACATGCCCAGCTGTCCTTGGCACAGTAGAAGCGTGGATCCATTGAGCTGCGGCACGTGGATCTCCTGTGCAGACATGGTTTGTCTCTGAAGTGATGAGCTTTCTTGAAGTCACATGTCCACAATGTGTGGAAAGAGTTTTAAGCAGTAGAAAGTTTAGTAGAAAGTAGCCCACGTAACGTAGGAACAAACCAAATAAGAAAAGTATTTCTGCCGGAAGAATCTCAAAGGCTTTTATTGAAGGGGGAAATATTTAAGTCCTAGCTAAGCAGTTACCCAAACCTGAAAGTATTAACTAAATCCTTGAGCAAAATGTGCATTTTAAAATGACAGCTTTCTCCAAAATTTGTAGTGCAAGAAATGCCCTTTAAGCTAACAGTAAAACTGGAAAGGCAGTTTGACAACGTTTTCTTGGAAGGATTTAGTTGTGACTGTAAGGATAAAGATGGGCTTAACTCGGTATCTGGAATGTAGCATCCCTGAGCCTTTTCGAGTATAATAAAATCTAAATATGAACGTTGCTTCAGGCATCTGCTGTTAGAAGCATGGTTCTGAGGATAAGTACTTTTTGGCAGACTTAAAAGCTGCATGCATTGTGGTTTCAAATTCTTAATCTGAATTTTGCAGCTTGGATCAGTGAAATAGGAAGGAAAGGAATCTGATCAGCTACAAAAGAGGAAGCATTTTAAAATGGATATTGTGACCAAAGCCAAGTCTCTTAGGTTACTTCAAAGAATTTTTGTCAACCAAGACTCCAGATTGTATAGTACAATTTTGCACTGTAAAAAACAATTTTCTTCAGCATCTAGCATGGTGAGATTTAAAACAGGAACATCAACCAACTTCTGAAGATGCTGAAATTTTTCTGGCAAATGGAAGTTCTGAGAAGCGTAATGTTCCCCAGTGCTGTGCCAAGACTTCATCTCGGATCTTCCTTTTGGCCTAGAGTTATCAAATGACTCTAAAGTCTAAGCACTGTCACTTCAGCAGCAAGGCTTTCTTATTAATTCACTTTCTGAAGTTTAGCTATTTATTAAAATACCCGGGTGAAATTTTTCAACAGTGATGAGGCTGCTAGCCGTAAGGTTTTCACACAGCTAAACTTGCATTCATTTTCATGAAGTCAAGGGTAGTAAAGTGCTCAGTTAAAATGAACTCTCACTCGCTAATAATTTGGTAATGCACTCTTTCATTTTCTTGCTTGTGTGCCAGTTTCCACAACATAACATTTACAGGGTCTTGTTGAGATGAATTGAGCTAGGAAAATTCTACTGCTTTTTTTTTTTAAAAAAAAGAAAAAGGCAGATGTCTTTAAATTACTCAAACTTAAACTTGTTTATTGTGAGGCTACTTCATTGTATTTTTGTCTTTCTTTTAGATAAATATTATGTAATATGGGAAAATTATGTTCCATGTATTCTGGAGTTCCCACTCTCCCTATATAAAGTGGTAGTAAACTACTTTTTCTCTTAGATAACACCAATTTATAGAAAATGTTGATAAATCAGATTTATTCTTTTGTTTAAGAGATACAACAGTGGAGCCTGGGAGATAGAAAGGATCTTAACTGATTTTGTCCCAACCTAAGCAGTTACGTTTGGGAAAGTGAGGACAGGGACAGGGGTTTTGGGTGATAAAAGTTCCTGCCTGACAGCTCCACTGCCTGGATTTAGTGGAAAGCACATATGAGGAAGTCTCTTTGGCTGTGCCGAGATAATGCCCTTGGCGCAGGAAACCTGATCAGCAATGTTAGGTCGCATTATTTGCTATCCAAAGAGTTAACCCCTGGGTAACATTGAATGGCAAGTACAATCTTTTGCTTAAAATAATTTGGTGCCAGAGATTTCTAAGAAGCATGGGAATACATAGGTACTAGAGAGTTTATTTAAAGAACTATTTAATATATTTTAATTTTCTCTTGCAGAGTATTAATATTAGGAGCTTCAGGAGGAGTTGGTACATTTGCTGTACAGGTAATATAAACCAGCATGCCCTAGATGCATCTTTAAACTATTCCATATGAAAAAAAATAACGGAAGGAAATTGAGGAAAGGAATAGCACAATAGCAAGCTGCTGACTGATCTGTCTGATTGATATTTCCAAAAGCAAAGTATTTCCAGATTTATTGTTTTCCATTTGTTATGTTGTATTAGTTTAAAGTAGGAAGCAAGGACTTTCCAGGAAAGGAGTTGTGAGTGTAGGTTTCACAGTTTGGGTGCAGGAAATCTCTTAGTTGGTGAACTTGAAATACGTAGCCTGTTTTCATTATCTTTCAGTCAGCTCTGCTCCATAGGTATGAAAGGAACTTAGTGTATGAGTAGAAAAACTGATGGAGAATGAATTTATCATCTACTGTAACTGTTATAGGTGGTCAAATAATATAGAATCAGGGAATCATTAAGGTTGGAAAAGACTTTTAAGATCATGAAGTCCAACCATCAGCTCAACACCACCATGAGTATTAAACTGTACCCTGAAGTGCCATGTCTCCGTGTTTTTTGAACACCTCCACGGATGGTGACTCCACCAGTTCCCTGGGCAGCTTGTGCCGGTGCCTCACCACTTCAGTACAGAAACTTTTCCTAATATCCAGTCTAAACCTCCCCTGGTGCAACTTGAGCCTGTTTCCTCTTGTCCTGTGAGGGTCACCAGGGTTTTAAGTGCAGTATATGTAAAGCACAGTGGCTTAGATTGACGTTCTCTCACTGTCTGTGCCCTGCTGCCCTGTTGTCTGTCTTCATTCCAGGAGCTCTAAACTTTGGAGGGTCAACATACTCTTCTCTTGATCTTGTTCTTGCAGAACATCCTCTTTCTATGTTCCCAATGAATTTGGAGATTTTGATTCTAATCGGCGTCATCTTATGCTGAAACATCTTTCTCTTGAGAATATGAAAAAAATAGAGAAGTTGGGTGATTGCAACACTCTGTTCCATGTTACAAGACCTTAAAGACATTGTTTTAAAATAGGTTTACAGGAGAATTTTTAGTGACAAGCTGTTTGCCTGATCCATTGTAAAGCAGGTGGCTAAATCAGATCAGTGTGAAAGGCTGACTAGCCACTGAATAGTCGTGATTTCTACCTGCATAACCCCAAGTAAACTAAATTAATTAATCCAGCATAAATGCAAAAAAAGATTACTGTGAATGAAAAATGAGATTACAAAAGAGATAAATAACTAAAAGTCCTTTGCTATAGCTTTTGGAGTAGAAGATAACTTGATATCCTCTTTGTGTTATATCTGAGATCACTTCCTTATTTTTCTTGTCATTAATATTTAAGCTATTTACAGTAAGATAGACTTAACAAAATATTTAATGAATAGGTAGATATAAAATAGTTTCAAATTAAAGATTTTAAAAATATAATGGTTGATCTGGTAACTGTTTGGCAACTTGGACAACACCTTTAGTTGTCAGATTCAGATGGCACACTGAGTATTTTATTTGAAAGCTTATTTAGCTTGAGACCTGGTATCTGTAAGTGGCGTTAAGAAAAACACCCTCCTTCCTCCACACCAACTCCTCCTTCCCCCAAACGCTCTTCAATACTGATGAATTCTAACCCGTGTTTGTCTATGGGTATGTGACAAGTTATCCTGACTCCCCACTCCCTGCTGAAGATGCTTATTTATTATATAAATTTAATGACGTTTTGGCTGTGTAAGTTGTCAGTTTTTCACTAAATTTTAAACTTTGGACTTTCTGTTTTCTGTTGTTTTTTTTTACTTGTTTTTAGCTAGTGAAGGCCTGGGGTGCTCACGTGACAGCAGTTTGTTCTCAGGATGCCAGCACACTGATGAAAAAGCTTGGAGCAGATGATGTGATTGATTACAAATCTGGAAATCTGGAAGAGCAGCTTAAAACATTACCCTTGTACGTGTTTGTATTGCTTAATACTGAGATGAAGGAGTTGGCGGTCAGACCTTCTGCCTTTTGATTGCTTGATTCCAGTCTGTTACAAATCCCTCTTTTTTCTTTTTTTTTTCTCCTTTTTTTTTTGTTTTTCCCCATTTCTAAAGCGTTACTTTGTAAAGCAAATTAATCCCAGCCCTTTTTGAATGCAGTTTGCCAAGTGAGTGGTATCCCAAGCACAGATTTCAGTGTAAGACTAAGCCAGTTAATTGGGCTTGTGGAGGCAAGCTCCCTTTCACAGGCTTCTTTTCTGTGACTGTGATTTGATCAGTTTTGTCAGCTTCCATGCAAGGTTCTTGGAGCATTTACAAAGCATGAATAAATTAAAATAAGTCTCAGAAATGCTATGTCAGGTTAGTAAATAGTAAAAGTGATCTTCTGGAGGGAAGGACTATGTCATGAAGTTGTTAAGTGACTTGCCAGAAGGTCTTTAGCCACTATGCAACTCAACTGGGGGTAAATTTCTCTTCTGTGACATTGGGTAGGGCTTCCTCTGTTAAACAATCCCACTTAACTTGTCATGGCAGTTATGTTTAAAGTAGCTCAGGGTTTTTCTCTAGAAAGGAAGTCCTTTTTTGCTTTTGTAATGTTGCCATCTGTTTAAACTTGGTTTGCTGTGACTTGGATTTGAATATGGTATTTACATTGCTCTTTTTGGCTAGATTGAATTAACTTTCTGGGAGGGGAAATCGAAGCTGTTCAACCTATGAAAGCATCTTACTGATAACTGTGCTAGGAAGGCCTGTGCCTTTTAACTGTGGTGCGGTTTTCAGCAGGCCTGAGGTCAGCTGTGAGGGTGCTGGCACTGTCTGTGTGAATAGGACGTACATTTAGCAGTGCTAAATTTGTCTTTGTGCAGTTCAGCATCTTAAATACTAAACACCCATTCTGGCAAGTGACCCTTTTTTTGAGGAGATACCAGCAGCACCAGCCTAGGGTGCAGTTTTATGGTATAGCTCGGCTGATCAGTCAGGTACACTGAGAGGGATGTTCTGCTTCCCTCCCCTTTTCAGTTGTACTGACACTTCAGACCCCACAGCGAGCTGGTTTTTCCTGAAGCATTAGTATTCATGCTTTTAGTTTCTCCTGTTGGCAGTTAATTGTTAGGTTGAATGAACTTTAACATGAAATCACATTCCTCTAAGACAGGCAGGAAAGCTGTCTTTCCAGAGATAAGAACTTTTCACTTTAATTTGCATAAAGTATTTTCCCTCCTATTTGTATGTTATTAGATGTATTTGTATATACATATCTGTTGCAATCTGGAGATTGCTGGAAATTTACCGATGCAAATGAGAATGAGCTGTGCCATCTAACAGAATAGGTGTATGGCTCGCTTTTGCCCTATTCAGCCTTTACTGGCTCACATGCTGGGATAATGAGAAGGAATGCGGAAAAGATGGCTTGTTGCCAGAGGCTGCATGTACCCATTCCATGGAGGGAATGTTTTAGACACTGTGGCTTGTTAGGTTCTATGTTTAATAGGGCGATGCAAAGAAAAGAGCTGCGAGTAGAGGTAAAATGCCCCCAAAACAAATAAAGAGGTAAAAAAAAAAAACTTGTAGAAGTGAAGCTGAGAATTGAGTCACAGAAAAAATGTGAGATAAGGGTTAGTAATTTTTTTATGGAACTTTGGCCACTGGAAGTTACTTTCGTGTGAGCACAGCATGTACAGGAGATGTTCCTGGTCAGGGTGTGAGTCCAGACTAGTTTTTACGTGAATATACCATATTGTTCAGTGCTAGGACCAGACATCACAGACTGTTCCAGTAGTCTCAGTGGTAGGCTGGAAGAGATAGAGCTCTAGAAAGTGTTAAGCAATCAGACAATGTAGGTGTGCACCTAAGGATCTGCTTTTTGGAGTTTAAGTGCAGTTCAGGTTGTCTAAATAGCTTGTGTCTGCTATGCAGTGAATGGGCAATAACCTGTACATTTACCTGCTGTTGTACAGTAAATTGGGTTTTTGCTCAAGTCTTGGGACTTTATCACTGCTCTCTTGCAGGCAGATGATTTTATTGCATTGCACTGATACGTCAAAAATGTAAACTATAGCAAATGCCTGATATGAATTAGCTCAATGGTGATGAAGTTGTTTTTCCCATATCAAGATTTTAAACCTGTTCTTTACATGTCTGCAGATTTGATTTCATCCTAGATAATGTTGGTGGATCTACTGAGAAGTGGGCTCTAGATCTCCTGAAGAAATGGTCAGGAGCAACATATGTTACCTTAGTGACACCTTTCATGATCAATATGGACAAGCTTGGAGTGGCTGATGGCATGTTACAAACAGGAGTCACTGTTGGTTCCAAAACCGTTAAGGTAATTGGCAAAATCCTACGTACTTTAATATTTTGTAGTACTCTGCTGCTTCCTTTGTGGCTTAGATGCTAGTCATGTGGCTCATCTAGAGGCATCAGTTGCATTTTCCCCATATAATCTTATGTATACTTTAGATGCATTTTTATTCTTTCTTGCACTGCAAAAAAAAAAAAAAAGTGTGTCGGGGTGGTGCTGATTTGGTGTGTGCAGTAGCTTGGGCTGCTTTGAAGTTTTGATTCCTTATTGGGCTTTTTGTTGTGGCCTTTTCCATACGGCCTCCCTGGTTAGTCCTGCTGACAGCTGGGGTTTCATAGTAAACAGGGCAAATCCCTGCCTCAGTGAAAGGAGGGTAATTTTGCTACTTGCTTTAGGCTGGGCAGGCTTTCTCTCAAAACTTTTTTCCATGACTGATTCTCTTCATCCTATTCCAGCTCCAGAGAATAACAAAAGTAGTTGAGGGTGGCTAGAAAGTCTTTCATCTCTCTAGATCGTGATGCTGATGTTTCTGGTTTTCATAAGTGGATCTCAAAACATTCTGCCAGTGGCCAGATCAGTGAGGTTTTTTAGAACTCTCCTCTTTCTTCTCTCAACTTGTGTCCTTGCTCTGCAAATGAATGCTTTTCAGGCAGTTGCTATGGTATCGCTGTGATGGCATGGTTGAATTGAGATTCTAAGTCCTGCACCAATACCTTCAAAGGAAAGCTCAAAAACAAAATGAAAAGACTGGAAAGGAATAATGTGATATTATTTCTCGGCGTGCATGTTTCCATGATGAGGAGCACTGTATGCCACGTATTAAAAATCCTCTCTTTTTGGCAGATGATTGCTCTTACTCCCGTATTGACTTACTCAGAGGAGGTCCTTGTGCTTCTGAGATCTTCCCAAAATGCTTTTTGTGTGAACTGCCATCTGCCGTTGGACAGTGATTACTTTGGCAGGTGTGATGGTGGAAAATTTAATCACTGCCACTGAGGCAGAAGGTTCTAAATGTTACATTGCTGGGTCTATTTCACCCCTTTTTGTGAATATGCATAAACATACAGCACCATTCTTCTCTTACGTAACAAATAATGCTGTTTCTAGCTGCAGAGGCAACAAGGTGGTTGTTTTTCTCAACTAGCTGACTTGTGCAATTGGACACGAAATTCACCCTGATCCTATTGTGGTAATGCAACATCCCTGTCTGTACATTTAATCCACGTGCTTAGGTGACATGTTTTTCAGACGTGACATTTTTTTCAGACACTGGCTTACAATTTCCATGGCTTTTCCTTAAGTTACTTCTCTAGTGCTTCTCTCATTAATTTTAGTTTCCATTTCATTTTCCTCTCATGATATTAAAATATATTTGTGGTCTTTTTTGCAGCACCTCTTTAAAGGAGTCCATTATCGGTGGGCGTTTTTTATGCCAAGTGGCCCAAATTTGGATGAAATAAGAGAACTAGTTGATTCTGGAAAGGTATGTCAGTAATGGTTATCTGAGTATTTGTGCTGAAAGAGGTGTTGCTTTGACTCAAGAGTAGCGTAATTCACAATGAGGGAATAAAATGTTATGAGAGTCACAGTGTGGAAAGCTACTTTAGAATTGACTTGCCCCAGCTTCTGACTTCTGCCTTTTGCATGGAATTTAGGAGTTCCTAATCCTTAAGACTCTGTACTCTACCTGTTTTTGAAAACACAGAGATTACTACTAAGTTGTGAGGAAGGAACATCCAGTGATTGTTTATTTTGGCCATTGGCAATCATTTTGCCTGAACTCTGGTGCTAAAAATTACATGGTTTAAGTGGCTTCATTTGGTTAGAATGAACATGGCTCTGTGTATCTGCATGTGCAAAATTGCTCTGGCCTGAGTGATCAGGAGTCCTGCCCATACTGTGCACAGAACTAGAATATTCAGCTTATTGCAGGTCATAGACAATTTACATTGGCAGAGTGGTGACAAGAAATCTTGTGCTTCGTTATTTCAGTGCTTCAGGGTATAATGTTTATGCTAGTTCAGCACAGTGACTTGGAATATCGTGAGCCTTGGTCAGCTTCTGGAGAGTCTCTTAGTGGACTTGGGGGAAGGGCATGAAGTGGCAGGTGGATTACTGCTTTTCTGGCCTTTTCAGGTTTATGAGCTTGTGTGTGAGAGTGAGTGTTGATTGTCTGTTTACTGGGCTCTGTGGTGCTGTAGGTCCTGGTAGTGTCCTCTTAGTATCATAGAAAAGTTTTGGTTGGAAGACGCCTTCAAGATCGTCGAGTCCAACCTTTGTCCTAGCCCTAGCAACACCACTAAACTATGTCCCTCAGCACGACATCTACCTGTCCTCTTTTTTATTTACTTCATGTTGGCAAAATTCCCAAAGTAGAGAATATGGATGACTGCTGTTAATCTTTCTACGTGGTACCTACAGAAGAGGAAGCAGAGTCTGCCATGACTGCTGGTAATTCCAGTATGTGAACTGTCAGGCCACTTGTGCTTAGAATTTGTGCATATTAGTAAAATCAAGACCTCTCAAAGTTTTAGTGTTGATCTTCTTTTTCCCTATGTATTATAGAATCATAGAATAGACTCATAGAATTGCTAAGGTTGGAAAAGACCTCTAAGATCATCAAGTCAAACCGTCAACGCAACGCCACCATGATCACTAAACTATATCCTTCAGTGCCACCTCTACATGTGTTTTGAACGCTTCCGGAGATGTCACCACTTACCTGAGCAGCCTGTTCCAATGCTTCACGACTCTTTCAGTAAAGAAACTTTTCCTAATATCCAGTCTAAACCTCCCCTGGCACAACTTGAGCCCATTTCCTCTTGTCCTATTGCTTGTTACTCAGGAGAAGGGACCGGCACCCACCTCACTACAGCCTCCTTTCAGGTAGTTGTAGAGAGTTTGAAAAAGAGTTGTACAATTGCTTTTGTACTTGAGGCCTGATGGCTCCTATTTGCCACCTCAGTGCTACCGATCAGAGTCTTGGATTCAGCCACTCCCGTTCCTCTTGTCAGGACCAGAGTGCTGCTGATGCAGCCAGCGGAAACGTGTTTCCTAAAATGTTGCCTCCTGCTAAACAGAGAGTGCAGCAGCTGTGGTGAAGTGTGTTCCTGGCTACTGCTCCACTTTGTATTGTGGCCGGTGCTGTAGGCACTATCCCATGGCCAAGAAAGAAACCCTAGAAGATGCTCCTCATCCTGTGGTTGCATCCAGTCACACTACTGATTTGTAACTAAGAAACAGAAATGCCCTTGTCTTTGTTCTTACCATTTGTCCTGATTCTTAGCCAGTCACAACTTGTTTAGTGTTCTCCTTCTGCCTTGTATGCAAAACAAATGGAGGGTATGCCCACGAAAGCCTCTTGGGAAACACCTGTTTATGCAATAGAGACAGGGATTAATGGGTGTTCTCTGCCTAATAATCTGGACAGGTGAATTGTAATGCCATTTAAAATGTACGTCATACATATATGAATGTCCTGATGTACTCTTTGTTGTAAGATGATCATGAAGACAAAGATGTTTGCTTGGTCTTTTATTCCCTGTGCAAAAACAGGTCGTAATGTCAGACTTTTGCTGCATAGTCATTATTCTAGCATCATTTTACTCTGTTTTGAAGTGTTATAAATACCATTTAGTTCCTGGTGATCTCTAGATGTCCCTTCCAACCTCTAACATTCTATGATTCTATGATAATTGAGTACTTGGCCTTTTCTAAACCCTGATGGAGTAAGGCAGGCTCAAAAGACTCCTCAGTGTCATAAGAGGGAGCACTGAGTATGCTCTGTGTTACTGCTGGACCGTGATAGGATGTGGGTTAGCTTGCAGCCCTACAGAAATTTGAAATTTTCATTTAAATTCAGTGCCATTTCAATGCAGTGCAGGTGTGTGCGCGCAGTATTTCTGGTGGCTTAATGCTCTTTCCTTCACAGCAGAGTTGCATCCGATGGGTTGGTGGGTGAAAGCTGATTTCGCAGAAGGAAGGCTAAAGGACGAGTGTCTGATCATTAAATGAACAGATCATTCACTAGATAAATGCTACAGTGCAGGCACACACATAAGAAAAACAGTCACATGCCTATATTCATGTAATTTATGCCTATATGAATGTAATTTGTGTGTAGTGTTGATTATACATTTTGCTGCAGACACTAGATGCTTTGGACTTAGCATCTGCTGTCGTGGTCTGGAGGATGGGATGCCGACTGTTCTTTGGTCCTGCTGCTGACTTCCTGTGTGGCGCTGTACAAATCACATTCTGCTCCCTTAATTTCTCTCTATACTAATGAGGGCTAATGCCCTTTGTCCACCTTTGGTGATTTGCTCTGAGACACCCCGTTAAAATGTGGAATTCAGTTGCTTTCTATTGCTAGTCTTTACTATTTGGGAAATAAGTAACATAGATGGATATGATCATCTGCTTTGACATTACTTGGGTTTTGAGTGGTTTGGACAGCTGTGATTTAAGGTGGCTGGCACAGGTTATCACAGCTTCTTGACTCTGTATTCTAACCCGTGTACATTGATTTGCTTCCAGTTCATCTCGTTACAGCTCTGCAAGTAATTTTTTCTCTGGCCCTTGTTGCACAATTGTTGCAGATTTCTCTCATCTAAATACCAAACAGCTAATGTAATGTATGGAGTCCTTGAGCATTCTCCAAATCTGGCATTGCTAGATGTGGCCTTCTGTGCAGTAATTCCAGTCTTTGTCTTTATGGCTGTGCTAAGGTGTCCTGAGGTTACTTGCCCTTGGGTGGTGCTGGCTTTACTCTTGGCTGTCTGAAAAAGGACACTGGGGTAGCGATTCTGTAGTTCAGTGTCTAAGTTGACTAGATATTAGTGCGTCTTCCCATTCTCTTTAGTCACACTCATTCCAACATTCATCATTCTCCGTGCTAAATTGCAGAGCTTGCACTTTTTATTTTCCCTTTTTAAAAAATTTTGTGTTTTCTTCTTGCAGTGTTTTTGCTTGCCAGTTCGGTTGGCTAGAGCCCAGAGATGTTGATCAAGGAGTGGTTGCCAAAAGCTCTCTTCAGTCCTTTCTCTTTCAAAATGAACTTTTATCTTCATTTTGTCATGGCCACCAAAAAAACCCACTGTGATTTTGATTAAAACACGTCCTCTCCTCTTCTTCTAGGTCGTGGTAGCTTGCTTCTGCTCTTTATGAAAGTGCTGTGTGGTTACATCATAAAGTGTCAGTGAAGAAGACTAATGGAAATTTTGCATACTGTGGAGAGATAGGGTTTGAGTATGTAAATTTACATAAACCACAATGAGGTCTGCAAAAATTTCATCGTATACCGGGTACTTCATCAAATGTGTTGCCTCAGCCTAATGGAATTGCATATTCTGTATAAAGTCAGTCCTAGTGTTCTGAGCTCTAGTCCCCTAGTGCAGGAGGGAATTAGGTCCAGTGCGGCAGTGAAGTGTGGGGTCAAGACAGCTCTTGTCTGTTGTGAAGTTAGTTTGCCAAGACCTGGGGGGTCATGCAGGTCATGCAAGACTATTCCAATATATAGATACAAACCAGAAAATTTGCTTTCATATATAAATATATATATACACACACTTATAACTGTACTAAAGTTTGTTCTGTCATAATTATATGATAGCATTGCCCCAGATTGCTTTAATTATCATCATAAATAACAGGACAACTACTATGAATATGACTGCTAGGCAATTTCAGAAGAGAGAGTTGCTTTTTGCTTTAGTTAATAGTTTTTCGGCATGGTTTGGTAGGTAACTAAACCCAGGATCTTCCTCATTTCTGCTGATTTCAGCTTGGGCTAGGTTGGCAGACGCTACAGTTCTGGGCTCATTGCAGTTTCTTGCTGCTCTCGTGTTCCATAGAGGTTATTCTGTCAGGGCCAGTTAATGAACTAGAGAATTTTTTTAAGCCTCTTCTGCGCTCCAAACCATACCCTGATAGCCTGTTTAACTGGGGTTTATGTTCCAGCATTTTACTAGGTGTAGATGACACTAATGAGTTCCTGTGGGCTGCTGTTGAGAGGCTCGATATGAAAGAGGATACTTTGGCTTGAAAAACAACCAACCAATGCCTGGTGAAATACAGTTGGTGAGATGACGGTGGAAGTAGACCCCAGGACACGGGCCTTCTGTTCCTGTGTCTTTACCACTGCACCACTGTTCTTACTGGCGTATGAGTCTGGATTGTTGGATCGTTCTTACTTCTGTTAGGCATTTGGCACAGAAATACCATGTACCTGATGTCCTTTAATGTGGTCTTGAATGAAGGTGTGTATTCTCTGAAATACCATCAAAACATGGTACTACGTAGTTGCAACCCATGTAACATGTGACCAGAGCGAGCTGTACCAGAAGGTAAAAACTTTAATCCTTGTCTTCGCTGGGGATTGACTCCAGCACCTAATGTTGGCAAGCAGTTGGAATTTCAGCGTACATTGTTGCACACCATTTTAAGGGGTGAGAAGGATGAGGATGAAGACAGGGGAGGGATTAAGACCCAAAGAACATGCAATTTGAATACAGCAGTGAAGGAGATGCTCAGCTAAAGGGAAGAAATGACAGAAACAGCTTTTTCCTTAAAACGACAGTGAAGTACTGAATAGCTAACTAAACGTCTAGTAACAGGCCAGGGGCTCTTCTTTGTGATGATTTCTGTTCAAATCTCTCATTGACATTGAAGGGAGACTCTCATTGAAGGCCCAAGCAGAGTATCAAGCCGTGGTTTTGTGCTCATATACTGCATTTGGGCCTGGTGGTAATTTCTGGAGGAAGGCAGCCTTTATCTTCTCTAATTCTGCTAGTGGGAATGGCAAGCAGGTCTCTTCCATTACAGCAAGCCCTCGGGGGGATTTTAATGTCTGGTGGAGCACATGACAGCTCTTCTCTGGTGCGTGTGTGAGTACCTGTTTATTCCCAAAGCGTGTACACAAGCCGTGAGCAGACTCTACTTCCCAAGGCGTGAGCGGTGAGCGAGTGCTGGGAGGTGGGGTCGTGGTAGCTTGAGGTGCTCTGCAAAGCGAGGCTGCCCTGCAGTTTGGACACGGCCATCCTTCACGAACCTGGGAGAGAGCCAATGCACTGTCATTGCCCTTGGAGCGAGGGAACTTATTTTTTTTTTCCCCACTCAGAACGAGGCGTGCTCTGAGGGCTGCCGAGGTTGGGTTCGTGTCTCTCCTGAGAATTCCAAGGCTCTAGCTCTCCCTCCAGCGACAGGACGCAGCGCCACGCTCACTGCAGTGACTTGCTGCTAACAACGGGTCAAAGCTGCCTTTGTTCCTTTCGTGTTTCCTCGCGTGTCCCCTCCTGATAAGTTCAGACTGTGCCCTTGCTACCACACAGTTGGGGACCTTCAGGGGCGGGCTGGAATTTGCCGTGAGCGGGAGGGCGTTCCTGCCGACCAGCCAACTCCCGTCGCCCCGTGCGGGGTGGGTGGGGTTGGCCGGCCCTGCCACTTCAGCATCAGCAATTGCTCTTTTCATTTTTCCAAACACGTGAGTTCATTTCAAGAGACCTGAGATTCGTTTCTATAGCATGTCCTACATCGGAGAGAATGAAGAGGAAGAACGTACCTTTCAGGCCCAATCTGTTTTCAGATAAACATTTCAATGCGGGTGTGTGTAATCCTTTCTCTCCCAGACTTTAGTTTAATCCCTTTTCCCTGAACAAATAGGTGTCCTCTGGCAAGGAACTGATGCGTGGCTGTAAATAGGCAGTGTTTTTATTATCCAGTTAATCTCCATTTATTATCACACATTCAACAAACAGCAAATGCTCCCCTACTTGTCTGTTCACAGGAAGAAATTTTATCTTAGTCAGTGGATTATGGTAAAGGCTGAGTGAATCACTGTGCTGCAACACGGTCAGCCCTTTCAGGGTTATTCAAACAATGGGACTGACCAGCCAGCCAGATAAAATGTTTAATGCTCTAGATTGTCAGGATCATCAATTTAGTATTCACGTCTCTCTATAGCACTGCCTAAAGCCAGCGTTTAAATGGAGCTAGAGGTTACATCAGTGTAGCAGATGGGCTCTGAGCATGTGGTGGCTGCAGTGCACATGGTGTTTTGAACTGTGAGGCTGAATTCAGGGTTCCTCTGAATCCCTGTGTCACCACTTTTCAAATGCGATGCTCTGAACTTTACCTAATAGGCTGAGGCCATAACACGCCTCAGTCTGTCAGGGTTACGAGCTGCAACCTACTATAAATACTATAAATAACTGCATGGAGCAGAGCACTCAAGTGTTTTGTTCATTTTTTCTCAGCTGTGGCACGTGTCTGAAATTAACTTCTGCCTTTCCCTGGAATCCCTTGTGCTTCACATCCCTTGTACTGCTTCACTGTTTTCTTCCCCAAATACCTTTCCCCTTCTCCCAGCCTCTTGCTGGGAGTCATCCACATCTGCTCCAGGAGGCTGAGTTTCTATAGTCTTCTTCCTTAACTGAAGCACAGCTTTGTACGTAACTGGCGTTAAGAGTAAGTACTTGTACAAGTGCTGCACTTGTGCTGGATTCAGCACTTGATTACTGAATTGTATTTTTTTTCTCAAGCTTATGCTAGAAAAGCGAGGGTTGGTCTTCCTCGAAGCAGTCAGTGATCAGCAGCACGCTTCTCCTGCTGCTGGTCACAGCAGCTGCAGTTTACTCGGACGCTCAGTTTACCCAAAGCCATTGCCTCACTCTGTTTTTTTGCTGCCCTGGGTCCACATCCCTGACTTTGCTGATGTCTGTTCTGTGCTGGATGCTGACCAAACACAATTTTGTCTTGATCATTCCCAATCCCACAGTTCTTCCTCGGTTGAGCAGCAGAAAGTGTTACGCGGAATCTTTGTGGCTGTCCTCTGCTGTGCTACTACTGGCTTTGGTAGAGGTTTGTTTAGAGATTGCCTTGGCAGAACAAGTGGAAGAAATTACGCAGCCTTGTAGCCTGCAGCGTGACAAGTTTGAGGCACTTATTTGCACAGTTGCTCTCATAGTGATTTGGTTGCTAATTCTGACTTTCTCTGTGGAGGGGGTTCACTCACTCCTACTTTTCTGCCATGTGAAGTTTCACGCTGCTGCTCGGCTTGCTTTGGTAAAACAAAACCTAGTGACAAGATCAGGAAATGCTGCAGCGTAAGAGATTACTGATGTCTTGAATTATTGTTACCATACAAGCAAAAACCAGTAGTTGTTTTATTGCAATGAATGGACTTCAAGGTAAGGCACTGTGCACAAATCAAGAGAAAATTTAGAGAGTGGAGAAAAGGACCTACATGAGCACAGCCAAGCAGCAGATTGCATTTGTTGTGCTGTTGGGCGGGGTGCTGGGTAGTCAGTGCTGCTGCTTGGAAAATGTTTGCAATATGAAAATCTTTCCTTGGCAGTACTGCGCCTTCAGCTTCTAAGCAGCATGTCTGAATACATACCTACCCCTTGCCTTCTGGTAAAAGTAAGCAAACCTTTCAAAAGACACAAGTAACAAGGATAATTTTCTAGCACAGTGAAGAGGGGGGTTAGGATGTTTGGGAGGAGTTAGGGGAGGTGCTTTGGAATACAGGAGCATCCACGTTCTCAGAACTTCACGATAGAAAATGTCTCTTTCCTTGGACCAGCAGTTACAAGTATTTTTCAGAAGGAGCTGTGATTCCCTCTGCCTCTGTTGGTACACTGTGGTGTCTAAAGGAAACACTTGCAGAGTTTTCAGGCTCCTTAGTTAATAATGGGGACAGGGAACATAGTAGTTTTACCTTCATTAGTAGAAATGAGTCTAAAACAATCCAGAAGGCTACTCTACAAAATGAATGCCAAAATAGCAGTCAACGCAAGCCGAGCTTAATGATGTATGCCTGCTGGCATACACAGTGGCTGAGTTTCCAAGCTCATCGAAATGATTCAGCAACAAATGTGGATTTTTTTTTTTTTTTTGTACTTCAGTTGTGGCCAAGTCTTTTAAAAATACCGATATGCAGAGAGGCCCTAGATTCATAGGTATGTTTAAAAAACATTACCTTTTGAAAATTCTCCAGTTTCATGAGAAAAGCAGTAGCTAAATATGAGAAAAAAATGTTCCTTCCTTTTCTTCAGTGTATCATTGTGGACAACAAAAAGTTGAAACATGGTGTCAGCTTGTAAGGGGAGTTGGAGTCTTGCATAGTGACAGGTGAGGGCTGAGCTGTGCCAGCAGAGATGTTTCAAAACTTGGGCAAAGAGCAGCAGAAAGCCTTTTCCTGCATGCAGAGGGGTCCCCAAAAAAGTTTACATCTAGTGACTACATCATTTGGCATCTTCTGCCCTAAATACTATAACAAATCCTCCTCCCTTTGTTTATACAGTTTTGAAGTGTAAAGGTGATATATTATTCCTAGTATTGTGACATTTTTTCTTTATTCTGTAGATTCAACCAGTTATTGATGAAGTCTTCTCTTTTTCGGAAGTTCCAAAGGCCTTTCTGAAATTGGAAGGAGGACATGCACGTGGAAAAACAGTGATCAATGTAATCAGTAAATAATAAAGTATCTCTAATCATTATTCTGCCCGCAGTCAGTCCTTTACTGGTAAATTACACCTGAATGTGAATTGGTACTTAGCAACTGCTCCTTCTTTAAAAGCTCACACAGGATGCATTATTTTTTTTAAAAGGTTATATGTTAGGAAAGTCTCTTTGCTTCCTTCACACACTGCCTGGCTCTAACTGTTAATATGCAGACAAGAAATACTATGTCCTTCAGGTATTTCCACATGAAAATCATGTTAAGAACGTAGTTGTGACTTTTGCAGAGCACCACTAACTCTTGGGCTAAGAGGAACAGCTGGCAGCATCTTCAACTTCTACATCTTGGAGCTTTCCCCCCCTCACATTTTTAGCCAATGAAATAGTGAAGCACACTTTTAGCTGATTGTCCACATGAAACTTTTGTTATCCTTTTTTCCCTTGGCCTTCTCCTAGTTCTGTTCACCTTTATTAATATATACTATTACTCAATTTAGTTCATTCTCAGAACCTGTAAACTTTCCCTGTACTAAGTGGTCACATTGCTGTCTCAAAACCAGTAGTTGAATCTTGATATGGGCAATCTCTCATGGCATGACTAATCTGAGTAGAAGCATGGAACAAAAATCAATCAGTAACTGATAATTACTCTTAATTGCCTAACTCCTGGCACAGATACAGCCGCTTATGGTGTTTATGCAGGTAACCTAGATGTCATTTTGTCACAATCAGGAGACCCTGTTCCTGCCATGCCCACTATCGCTGCTGGTGGGGACGCAGTGCTTGAGGCTGTGCCTGTTGGTCTTGTTTTTAAACTTACCTGTTTTGCCAGGGATGGGCTACAGTGTGATTTCCCCTGCAATTATGCAGGTAGGTTGAAGGAAAGCGGCAACCTCTTCGCTGAGAGCTGCGCAGTTACTGCCATGCAGCTGGAAAACCACCTCTTGTCAGTGCTTCCCCTGGGGGACAGGAGCAGGAGCCGAATGAGCTGTGGCCCCGTGTAAAAAGACACCAGAAGTGTACTTGCACAGGAGAAGTGTCCCTTCCCCAGAGCCTGCAGCTCTTCCACACCACAAAGTCACTGTCATTGGGTCGCCGTCGCAGAGGAATCACAGACAGAGAAAGGCACAAGACAGAAGCGAAACTGACTGAACTGTCAGCTTTCTCCCTTTAAAAGTAAGGTCAGTAAGAAGTTAGCTAATTTAAATTTATTTGTAAAATGCTATATAATATATAGCAGGAGCACATCAATATGACCAAGTACCACCATTTGGGATCAGTAACAACACATTTTCTGTGAAGAACTAAAAGCAGCAAGTTTCAGAGCAACAAAACTTCAGTACATCTGTACAAAAGGAGGAAAATTTAGTAAGGCACTTCCTCTAGGGTGGCAACAAGAACAGCACCAGTATCCTTTGAGGCAATACAATAGTAATGAAAGTGTTAAATTTTAAACAGACTTACTATGCAAGACAAAGGCCTGGATGCTCCTAGGAGCAGCTTGTAATAACACTGGTCTAAGCCAGAACAAAAACACAGCAGCGTAGTACAAGACTTCATATTTTACCTTTTTGCCAACATTATTAAGGAAAACTTCAAAACTGAGTTAAGGGCAGGGCAAGAGAAGAACTTCCTGCAGTCGTTAGGATGTCTTACTTGTCACGAGCTCCCCACAAGCCCAGTAATGCTTTACTTTGATCATCTTTAGTGATACCTCCCCTAAGAATTCTTGTTTTCTCTGATTTTTGGAGTTCGGGAAGACCGTGCTTACAGGAACTGGTTTCAAAGGTAAAAATTTGACTTGGCAAAGAAGTAAAATACCCGTAACTTAAAAAGTTAGGCAGCCTGGAAAAAAAGGGCAAGTTCTTCACATTCCAATGTATCCTTTTGCCAGTCCTCTCTTTTTCTAACAAACATCTACTAATTTACGTCGTCTCTACACGAGAAGAATCTAGAATTTTTTCTTAATTTAGGACTTACTGTATTAGCATACTAACTATATTTGAAGCCACATGTTAAGAATTCTTTGGATGTGCTGTGTGCTAGCAGCCTTTAAACTTTCCGTAAACGTAAGTTTGTTCCAGTGAAACAAATACATTAATTTCCCATCGTGAATATTTCTCTATACTACAGCCCACAGGTCCAAGTTGCTATACCCACATACACAATGCACTCCTGTCCTTTATAAAATAAGCTTTTTAACCTTTCTCTCAGTTTAAAAAAAAAATCAAAACAGCTTTTAAAAATAATTTAAAGTTATGCTTATTCTGGATTAACTACTTGGTGGTACAACTGTAACGTCATGGGGTCTCTGCCACCTCTAGTTCTTCCACTCGAGCCGATACTACCTACCACTCTCTATCTCACATTGACTTGCGATGATTTAAAAAAAAAGGAAAAAGGAGAAAAAAAAGCTTTTACAGGGATAATAATCTTAGATAGAAAGGCAAAATCAATCTGTTGCTTGTTCTTTTTAAAACTGCAAAGAAAAGACAAAACTCTCATTGTTGATTCTATGTCCTTCAGAGAGGGCAGTGCCGATTCTTGTGTGTGGAACAGTGGCCAATTCAAACGTCATCTCGGCTTTGTTTGGGTTTATACCACTAGCGGTTCCCAACACTGTGTTAGCTTTTCTTCACTGACTGTGTTGACAACAACGTGGTCACGATCATATTGTGTGCCACCTGTAAAGAAAAATTTCAGAGTGGAGATTATCCTTCAAACGAGAGGCACGTACTCCAGGTTTTGGGGCAACTCTAATCAAAGTGCTGGTGTAGACAGTCTCTCCTCTCCCCAAGGCACTGAAAAGATAAACTCATTCTCATCGCTGCCTGCTTTCGGAATTAATTTTGAAACAAAGGGGCCTGCCTGTTCCTCTGCACCACTTCAGTAATTCAGTACCTTGGCTTTTTTCAGCCTGGATAGAAAAGGAAGGAAACACTGCAGTGCAGCCAGGTATAGCTCCAGCGAGACTGTCACTTCCCAGAAGTCACACTGGGCTGTTCAGTTTCCTCTCAACAGTCGTCACTTTGCTCTAAAGATGATGTTTACACGATGAAATAAGTCCTGTTGGCAACGGACAGTACGAGCATGACCACACCAGGGACAAGGGCTGGGACTCATTTTGCCATTATAATCTGGAATTTTGACCAGCTGCATCACAAGTCGCCATACACAGAACATCACCCAGTGTTCACCTGTTTCCACTGGCAGCTGAACACACCCAAAAGTAGAATCAAACCCTTTCTTAGAGGGGCTTAATTTTCTCATGTGCTGCAATACCAAACATGTTCCCATAGAAAAGCGCCATTAGAATTCTGACTTGAGAAACTTGGAAGCAAAGAAACGTTCGACTAGAGCTGAAAGTCAGAGCTGACTATTTTTTTTCTTTCTTTCAGATCTAGTACATGCTGCAGCAATGTAGACATGTGCGTCTCATGTGGTACAACACACTGGGGATGGCAGGCAGCATTTATTCCCACTAGAAGCAGCCATCTGAGCCAGAGCACCAGGACACTCCTACGGACATCGTCATTCCTTCCACGCCCCTGGAGCCTCACCGTCTCCAAATGAGCAAAAGAAAAGCGGGGCAGCTGAAAGCTTATGGCGAGTGTGACAAGTATGAATTCTAGCAGAGCTCTGAAATAAATATGCCGGGCACCTGGAGCCCCACATAGGCAGGCATGTTGAAGAGCTGCAGTTTTGTACTAAGGAAATGCTCATCTCAAGCAGCTGAGCTCTTCTCCCCTTTAGGAATTTGGGGGAGGCTTTCTGATGCCACTGCCCCGAAACAGAAAGGTCTTCGAAAAGGTTAACACCGACACGATTTCCCTCCGTGCTATCACCAGGCAATTACTAAAAACCAGTAGAGATACAACCCTAACTCTGCAACATTCTTGAGAACGGGAAAAGGGAATACCGGGTCAAATGCTCCCACAGGAGAAAAACCTCACTAGCACCTACGAAAAATTACCTTAACTACAAAGCTCAGTTACCGCTGTGAGTACAAAAAAATGTTTTGTAAGTGGTGTCTGGTAGAATGTAAACATGTTACGATGGGAAAAGACGGGGTTATTTTTCAGTGCAACAGGAGACTATTGGACAGAGCTGTGCCCTGGAAAAGCTTCGTGCTACGCCAACCAGACCCACAAGGTGGCATCGGTGACTGCAGAGCTCAACAACTGCGCTCCTTGGCTAAGAACTCCTTACGGCTCAATTTGGGGTCAATGCATCAGCACAACCGGCAGACTCGGATAATGCTCCTGCTAGGCTTTTTCACATAAAAGCTAAACGTACTTACTCTTTCATGTTTATTGTACAATTAACTTTTTTTTTTTTAAATTTAAGAGTGCACCTATACTTTTGATCACCAGACCTACCCTAGTGAAGTTCTTCAGTTATAAATGCAGAATTGATAACTGCTTTTAACATGATTAACTGGAGGCAAGTCAGCATAATAGTATTTCTGCTTGTTTGGGACAAGTCAGAACTGACTTTAGAAAAAGGTGTGCAGAGCCTGGAGTCTTTCTGGTAAGTTTATAATTAATCACTATTAGGGTTTTGTGGCAGTAAAGAGAATTTGTGACTATTTGTGCCAGTGTTGGACTAGGTCAGACACTAAATAACCCTTTTTCTCGCAGTTTTGATAATCATGTCCTTTTTAGTTCTAAAGTGCCGATTGTTGACTCTGGTAGATTTATATATTTATATATATAATTGCTGTAATTAATGTCACAGCATCAATGCAAAATTTATTTTAGAACAGATTGAAAAATTAGCAGCTATACAAAATGACTATTTCTCCCACTCAAAAATGGAAAGTTACATCAAAACATCCAACTGTATTAATTCTGATAATCATTCCATTTGTTGCTTTTTCAGACCTCCTGTGAAACTATGAAAAGAAAGTTCAGAAGCAGTATCTTCCCTACTCAAATTGCTGTGACAAAAGTGTAAGACATGCATCAAGTGCGCACAGATCTTAGGCTGCTGTGGCAGAACTTCATGTTCTCCGTGAACGTACAGCCAT